AACAACAACAACAAATCAATGAAAGAAAAGAAATGAAATTCTGTGGTCACCAATTGAATTGAATTGTTTAATGATTTCCCAATAAAATTGATAATGTAACTTTACTAAAAATCGATTTCTACTACTAGGTATTTGTAGTAGTCAATATTTACCAATTCAATCAAATTTAATTGTGACAATTTTTACTACTTTTCTACACACCACCACTTCTACCATTTTTTTTATAACTTAGTCATTTTGATGTAGTAAAATCTACACACCCACAAAGAATATTTAATCACTTAGTTTTTTATTACCCATTTTGATTCAACGGTATTAAAATTTTCCGGTTGAATTCGGTTATTCGGATTCAGTTTTTCTTTGGTTATAAAATTCAATGAAAAAGTATTTGAGACAAAAAAAAAGGGAGCCAAAACGTTATTACAAACAAACGAATTTAAAACGAAAAGAGTTTTTGGGTTTTCTTTTGGTCAGAAAGAATAAAGAAAAAGAATAAGAAAAAACCTATTAAAACTTTATGTTTGTTTCGAGGTCGAACAAATGTAACCGAAAATAATAATAAAAAACAAACAAAACAACCAGACAAACAAACAAACAAACGAATGTAAACATCTTGATATGAAAAAATTGTAAAAAAAAGTGATGTTTTTGAAGTAGAAACCACACACACACAAAAAAAAACTTTAAAGAAGTATAAAATTCATTTCTTCATATGGAATTCTTCCCTTTTTTTCATCCAATACACTTTTGGTTCTATTCAACCAAAAGTGTTTTTTTGCTTTTCTAGTTTGGTAATTAAGGTTTAACTATTTCCTCCCCCCCCCACACACACACACTTAGAATATCAAAAGAATTTGATAGTAGTCAAAATGTAAAGTGAACCAAAAAAAAAACACAAATTTTATCTTTGAACAACAAGAATTTCGAAAAGCAAAACATTTAAATGTTAATTTTAAAGGAACGAAAAAAAACAACGAATTTTCGTCGTTGTTTTCTTTTCCGCGAAAACTTTTTTCGGAAAAGAATTTACGACGAAGACGACGAGCATCACTGATAAAAAAAACAACAACAACAATTATACCGATCATTGATCGTTTGTGAAATTCTTGTTTTTGTTTTGTCAAAGACTTTTTCCAGAAAATCCAATTTAAAATTTGGGAAATTTTTTCGGGAAAACAGAAAAGTTTTCGAAAAAAAACCCAAAAAAGTTTGATTCTTCACACACACACAAAATGTCAAAAAAAGGTTAATTAGCTAAATAAAGAGCAGAATTTTCCAAAGAAAATATTAAAAGCTTAAACTAAAAATTTTTGAAATTAAAATCATTATCGTTATTTTAGTCTTTCAAAAATCCAAAAACGGGTCTTTTTTCTCAAAAAACCGGATTTTTTTCCCACCGAAATCAAATCATTTTGGATCAAACGAAGAGAGAGAAAGAGAGAGAAAAATATTCATAAGTTTCGGCAAGAAAAAATTGAAACATAAAGAATCTGAAAAGTGCACAGAATTTTACTATTTTATCAATTTTTTTTTGATTGTGGTTATAACTTGATTTTCATTTTCGACTACTTTATTTTATTATTTTTACTTTTTACTTTTACTTTTTTCTCATCATTACATGAAGAAGAAGAAACAACTTTTTCTTTTTTCTTTTTTTGGTTATTCAGGATAATTGGATTTTAGTGAATAAATGAATGAATGACGATTTTTCAACCAACCAACCGGGCCAAAAACAAGACTATCTATCTATCTATCTATCTAAAGTGTTTTCAAATGTCTAAAACTCTATCTTTATTCATTTATCTTTTTACATGATAGAAAATTCAACCAGAAAACATTTCTCTAATCGTGTCAGACAATGGAAATAAGGGGAAAAAAAAGTTCATTCATTAGGCATTTTTTTTGGTATTCCGGTATTGCCACTCACACATAAGGTTAGGCTAATATTAATTTTTCTCTTTCTGTCTCTCTCTCTCTCTTGCTCTACATTTTTTTATTTGATTTGATGATCATTTCTATGGTTCATCATCATCATTAGAATAAACGACAAAAAAACGAATCGGATTCTCGATTGAATGAAAGCATTTTTTTGCATTCGAAAGGTTAATAATGATGATAATCATTATTCTATGAATATTTACATTGAGCAGAATAATTTTTTTCCTATTTACGTTCCTATGTATATGACGGAAACATGATGATAGGAAAATGAAAAATTATGAATTTCTTCACATTCAAATTATTATTATTTTGTGCGACTGTCATGATGATTATCATCATCATTATTATTTAGCTTACCAATAATCCACATTGGTTCTGTTGATGGTATTTGTATTTGTATTAACAANNNNGTATAAAAAAATTTTTTCAAAAATTTTTTTAAAAAAAAAAAAAAAAAAAAAATTTTTTTTTTGGGTTTTTTTTTTTTTTTTTTTTTTTTTTTTGGTATTCCGGTATTGCCATTCACATAAGGTTAGCTAATATTAATTTTCTCTCTTTCTGTCTCTCTCTCTCTCTCTCTCTTGCTTTACATTTTTTTTATTTGATTTGATGATCATTTCTATGGTTCATCATTAGAGTAAACGACAAAAACCGAATCGGATTCTCGATTGAATGAAAACATTTTCTTTTTTTTCATTCGCAAGGTTAATAATCATCATTATTATTGTTCACTACACTATGAATATTTACATTGAGCAGAATAATAATTTTTTTCCTATTTACGGTTCCTATGTATATGACGGAAACATTATGATAGGAAAATGAAAAATTATGAATATTTTTCTTGCACACACATCAAACAATTATTATTATTTTGTGCGACTGCCATGATGATAACCATCATTATTATTATTATCATTTATTTATTTAGCTTACCAATAATCCACATTGGTTCTGTTGATGGTATTTGTATTTGTATTAATAATAAAATATAAAGAAAAAATGGTAAAATAATATGATAATGAATTGTTGAAAATATATTTAATTTATTTAGATTTTTTGATTGTTGTTGTTGTTGTTGTTGATGATAATGATAAGGATGCCTAGAAGCAACATAATGAATAATCTGTATTGGCTTTGCTGTTGTTGTTGATGATTTAGTTGTAGATGCGGATGCGGATGATGATAATATTTTTGTTGATTGTTGATGATAATTTACTAAATATTTATTATGGCCAATAGATTTTGATATTTTTGTTGTTGTTGTTTTAGTTGTTGTTGTTGGTGATGATTTCAATTCATCATCATCATCATCATCATCAACAATAAAAATAATAGCCGTTGGCATTATCATATCGAATATGATTGGCCAAATTATTGTCCAACAACACATTTCTTATTTTGATTGATTCAATCAATCATTCAATCATTGATTCATGATGATGATTAATTTGATTTGATTTAAGAATATCATTTTTTGGATGAAAAAAGAATGAATAAATCAAAGATGTGATGTGAAGAAGATAATCATCATCATCATCACATCTTATATGTGAAATGAATTTTTGATTTTTTTGGATTTTTCTTCTTTTTAGTTGATAAACGGATTGAAACAATTGAAAAATGTGAAACAAAAAAAATTTGTCAACTTTTTAGAACATCACAATCATCATTATCATCAATGAGATGTATACGGTCTGTATGGCAAAATGGAAAGAATCCAAGTGACGAACCAAAAATCGAAATCCGAAAAAAAACTTTTCGAAAAAAGAAAGTTTACAGAAAAAGAAGGAGGATGTATGTAAAGAGAGAGAGAGAGAGAGAGGGAAAAGTATGCGCAAAAAAAACTTTTCTTTCTAGTTAGTTACATCATCATCATCACCACCATTGATAAAAATGCATCCAGAATATATTTTTTTCTTCTTCAGTTCCAGATGAAAAAAAACATAGCAAATAAAAAAATATATAGCTAGAATCAAAGAATATTCTTTGTTGTGGACCATGAATTCTTGTGTATTCTGAATGTATTCTGATGCTACTAGGCTATAGAACAAGAACCAGAATCTCAAAAACCAAAACCAGAAGACAAAATAAGACAACAACAACAACAACAAAAAAAAGCAACAGTCAAAATGATGAAGAAAAAAAAATTGATTCAATTTGAAAGGAATGATGAATATTTTGTTAGTAATTTTCATCAACAAAAAGTAGAGAATATTCTGTTGTTCATCAATGAATGTTGTTGTCATTATAATTCAATTCTAATTGTTGTTTTTTCACTGTTTTCCATCATTGTTGTTGTTGTCGTTTTCTCATATTTAACCCTTCGTAAACACAGACACATTCATTCATTATGTGGTGAATATATTGAGAAATAATAAAATCAATAAAGCAAGAAACTTTATCTAGTTTTGATCTTTTTGACTTTTAATTAATTATTCAAACAGTATTTTTTTCGACCTTTTTCTTTCTTCTTTTCATGAAATTATTATGATCATCATCATAATCTTTGGTGAGATCCATATGTTGTTTGTTGAAATATTTTTTTCTTTTTGGCCATAAAAAAAAGTTTCGATAATTGAAAAAATTCCGTATACGAAATTAATGATTAACTTTTTTTTTACCCTGTTTTATTTGTTTTTCGGGTTATTTGGGTTGTTTTTTTTATATTCGGGATTATTTATGGTAATGATTATTCATGACCAACCATAATTAAATTGTAATTTTTTTGGTTAAATTCGGGATGCTTTTGTTGCTACCCGAAATGATGATGATGATGATATGCAAGAGAAAATGCCATACCATTCACCAAATATGCATATCACTCTATAAGTTTTTGATTGATGATTTCATCATTTGTTTTTTCCTTGGAATATTTTCGGGATTCATTAAAATAACTCGGTTAATTGAATTTTCATTTTTTTTTAAATTTGAAAATCCACCATTTTTAAATACCAAACGATAGATGGCGACACCGGTTTCGTAATTGATAAAAAAATTGGTTCAAAATGTTTAATTCAAAATTCAAAATTTAAAAAAAATCCTCAGATAAAACTTACCAATTCTTCGTTGATATAAATGATGATTTTTGGCATTGTCCGAATCGGATTTTAGTTTAATACCTGTATTTGGTGTGTGTGTTTTGGGTTAAAAAATGAAAGAAGAAAAATGAAATGGAAAAAATATTTTAGTCATTTGAATCCGGATCGATAGATGTCGCTAAATTTTCCAGAATTTTTTTCAGAATTTTTCAAACTGAAAAAATATAACAATATTCCGTAGGGGTTAATGGGAGGGTGATACATTTTTGGAATAATATCCATTTTTTATTATTCTTATTATATTGCTTTTGGATAATTCATGCATGACCAAAAAAAAACGATAGTATATTTTGATTTATTTCTGGGTGCAAACAAACATGAATTTACTTTTTCGTTTTGCTGTGTGTGTTTGGAACAAAAAACATTATTTTTTTTTGCTTTCCTGTAAATGTATTTATTATCATTTAAAGGCAATAAAATGCAAAAAAAATGTAAATGTTTCATCAACAAATACAATGAATAAATAAACAAAACAAAACAAAACAAAATGAACAGAACATCAAACAACAAACAAACAACAACAACAATTTTGCATCATGCAAATGATTCTTGTTGTTGTTGTTTGTTTGTCTGATGATTCTGATGATGAATCCAAATGGTGTTAAAGGAATGAAACCATTTACCCCTTTTTTGCTTTATTTTGCTGATTTATCCATCCAATAATGGTTATTTTGTATTACCAGAATCACACATTCCACATTAACCATACATTCATTCAAATTCATTTAAGGCAATTTTCTTAAATGATTTTTGGTTTTTTGTTCTTTTTTCACACACACGCACACACACAAACAAACAAACATCCATATTTACCACATCAGTTATTTTTCTTTGAATGATTATTCTAAAACCAAATCTACGAGGAAAAAAAATAAATGTGAGAAACCAGAAACCAAAGAAATATTTGTTTTCAAGTTTTTCAGTTTTTTGATTTTCATTCATTTTTTGGATTTAATTGAAAAGGATGCTAAAGAAAAATATTTTTTTGATTGAAATTTGTTCAACCACTTTCTCTCTCTCTCTCTCTGTCTCTATTTTTCTCACATACATTATTTCATCGAGGTTTTTAGTTTAATTGAATTTTTCTTTTGTTCTTCACACACACACATCAACATCAACATCGTTTTTGTTGTTGTTGTTTAATGTTCATGAAAACAACAACAAAANCCAGAATTTTCATTTTTTTTCAAACTGAAAAATTTAACAATATTACGCAGGGGTTAATGGGAGGGTGATACATTTTTTGGAATAATATCCATTTTTTATTATTCTTATTATATTGCTTTTGGATAATTCATGCATGACCAAAAAAAAAACGATAGTATATTTTGATTTATTTCGCTGTGTGTGTGTGAACAAACATGAATTTACTTTTTCGTTTTTGGCTGTGTGTGTGTGTTTGGAACAAAAAAAAACATCATTTTTTGCTTTCCTGTAAATGTATTTATTATCATTTAATGGCAATAAAATGCAAAAAAAAATGTAAATGTTTCATCATCAAACAACCAACCAAACAAATACAATGAATAAGTAAACGAAACAAAACAAAACAAAAATGAACAGAACATCAAACAAACAACAATTTTGCATCATGCAAATGATTCCCAGTCAGTTGTTGTTGTTGTTTGTCTGATGATTCTGATGATGAATCCAAATGGTTTAGGAATGAAACCATTTACCCCTTTTTTTATTTTGCTTTATTTTGCTTTATCCATCCAATGTAATGGTTATTTTGTATTACCAGAATCATACATTCACCAAACCATACCGTATTCATTCAAATTCATTTAAGGCAATTTTCTTAAATGATTTTTTTCTGTTGGTTTTTTTCCACACACACACACGCACACATAAACAAACAATCATCCATATATTTACCACATCAGTTATTTTTCTTTGAATGATTATTCTAAACCAAAGAAATATTTATTTTCAAGTTTTTTTTTGATTTTCATTCATTTTTTTTGGATTTAATTGAATTGAATTGATAAAGACAGAGAAACAGAGAAAAGGATGCTAAAGGAAAAATATTTTTGATTGAAATTTGTTCAACCACTTTCTCTCTCTGTCTCTATTTTTCTCACATACATTATTTCATCGAGGTTTTTAGTTTAATTGAATTTTTCTTTTGTTCTTCACACACACACACATCAACATCATCATAGTTTTTTGTTTTTGTTGTTGTTTTCATTCATTTGTTGTTGTTGTTTAATGTTCATGAAAACAACAACAACAACAAACAAACGTTTAAACAATAACCATATAGATCAACTCAGATAACTATTATTTTCTTATTTTCTTATTATCATCAACTTTCTTTTCTAAAAGAAACCATATAACCTAAGCAAAACAAAACAAAAAAAAACATTATAAGGTCTTTTTGCTTCTTAAGGGTTATGTGAATTTTATTCTTTATTTTTATTTTTATTCACTTTTAGACACGTTTAGGCAATTGTTTTCTTGTTCATTTCACTGATCTAAATTGTTTGTAGTGAATTAACCCCGGAATGATGATGATCATCATGATTATGCAACGATAATGTTAGTTTTTGTTTTTGTTTTGTTTTGCTTGAAATTTAAACTTGAAGAAAATTTTTAAACAAATTTTTGTATTTTTTTTCCAAAGGAAAATTCAGTTAAATAAGAAAAAAAATGGCAAATGATAGAATCTAGGGAATGAAAAGAAATTTTTATTTTTATTTTGTTATCAAGTTAAGTAAAGATAAAAAAACTTTCAATGAATGAATTTGACAATCAACGACAATAGCTACAAGGGAAATTAAATCCCGTAGATAAAGTTTTCAGTTGAAAGAAAAAAACCCTTTTTTTCCATTGGATTTTTATGTCAACTCTTGGTTCACTTTGTTTTTTTTTTTTTGCTAAAATTGATTGTTTTGTTTGGGATTTTTTTCCTCTTCCATCTAGAATCCAGAATCGGTCATCATCAATTGACCCGAACGAAAATGAAATAAATTCTTTGCAATTTTTGGGTTTAATTTCACCAAAAAAAAAAACCTAAATCAAAACGAACCAAACTTGATTAATTAATATTTTGTGTGTGAAAACCAAACTTTTCGATACTTTGTTTGTGTATATGGGATTGAGATATGTCAAAAAGAGTGAAAAGAAAAGAGATAAAGTAACATAGACCTGTCCATAAGATTAACGGTGTTATCATTACCATTACCATCGCCATTGCGATTTAATGTTTGAAAAAGTTTTTTTGCTTTGTTTTTATTTTTGGTTTTTTTTCTGGAAAAATGTTTCGGGAAAACTTTTTTCCGTAGAAAATTTAACCACCAATGTGGCCAATGTTAATCTATGGGATTTATTTTGGTTTTGGTTTTTTTTCTGGCCAAAGTTTTTGGTTTCCATCGTTTTGCAATCAGGTTTTGTTCGATTCAAATTTTGGTCAACCAGAAAAAAAGAAGAAAGAAAAGTTTTTAATCTTTTTCTTTGGTTTCTTTCAAACATAATTTTTCAATTCTTTTACAAGCTTCTAATTTCGTTTCGGATTGTCGAATACGTATTCCAGTTTGTTCACATCGTTTTAGCATTTCAATATCATTAAGAATTTGATCAATCATTGTATTCATTTCGGATGATGTAAATCGATGCGTATCAATACGTTGGCCATAACCACATTCTTGAATACGTTGTGCATTATCATATTGATCAGTATATAATGGCATAATGATCATTGGTTTACCTGCCATTAATGTTTCTGTAACAGTATTATTACCACCATGTGTAATAACTAAATCGATTAATGGTAAAATCTGTGTTTGTGGTAAATATGGTTGTCCCCATTGATTTTCGGCAAGCCGAATTTGTTGGTGATATAGTCCAGTAGATATAATAAATTTATGTAATGAATTAGCTGCTAAAGCATCTATTAAACGTTTCATTAATACGACATTAGCACTACCAAATGAACCCATTGATACATAAATTAATCGAACATTTGATTTAAGATTTTTTCGTTGAAATTTTTCAGGTAATTCAAATGATGAATCAGATGATGATGATGATGATTGTCGACAAAATGCATCGATACGAATAAAATGATCAGGTAAATTGGCCATTTTATTGTAATCAAGTTCTTTTGGATAACCATAAATATTTAGATATGGTGAAATAAATGGTAAATCATTCGAATTTTCAATCATTTTATCATAACCAAGTTGTTCGTTTAACCAATTCTGATAATAACAAATAGATGATATGAATGTTTTATTGAATTTTTCACGAAATTCTGACCATCCATTTTGATTATCGGATGGATATCCTGGGAAAAAATTATGATAACGTTTTTTTCACTGATGATCGATTGCTAAAAAGATTCTTACCAGACATCATTGGTGGTATATGATCAGATCGATATAATAGAATAGGATTGGCACTCCAAGAAAATGCCCAACAATAAGATCCATATAAAATACATGGTGCAACAATCATTGAATCGACAATAATTAAATCCGGTTGTAATTTATCAATAATATTCAACATTTGTTCATGAACATTAAGAATTTGTTCAGACATTGTTCGCGCAAATATATTTGGATTTTTATTATGATCATAAAGATCTAATTTTTCAAACGGTGACATATCCGATAATAAACCGGATTCAATAATAACATTCATTAATTTATTATTTTTGATCGGATGATCATTATCATCATCCGTCGCCGATTCATTCGTATCGATTGATTCGTTGTTGCTGTTGTGAAGAATAAATTCTTCAAAACCATAGCGATCGCGATATTGACCGGCCATTTGTTTATTGGTAAAAAAATATATTCGATGTCCACGCAATTGTAATGCTTGCGCTAAACCAATACAAGCATTTATATGGCCAAGACCATCACATGGATTGAATAAAATTTTTAATGACATTTTTTATTTTCAAATAAGCAAAACAAAACAAAACGAAAACAGAATATAAAATGGGAATTGTAAATCAGAAGGAAATTTTGCTCAATTTTTGTTTGGTTATTTTATGGCAATGATGCGATAAATTTTTCAATTTTTTCACATGCTTTTCACATGTTTTGAATCGGAACAACGTAAACGTTTTGCCATTTGTTGACAATGTTTTTTTCATTTGTTCATCATCATTGATAATATTATCAATCAATGATAGAAATTTTATTTGATCAAATCGATAACCATAACCTTTTTTCTTGAATACGTTGTGCATTATCATATTGATCGACAAACATTGATATTGCAATCATTGGTTTTTTCAGCCAAACATTAATTAATTGAATCGATTGCAAGTCGGTTTGCACAAAAATCTTTATTTTTTTATGACGATCATGAAGATCTTCATTTTTCCAATGATGAACGTGAGGATAAAATACCCAAAGTAATAATATTATGTATAATTTTTTTTTCATTATTGGCATTTGGATGATTTGATGATGATGTTTTTGGTTCAACATTTTGTTCTTCAGTTGTCTTTCGATCATCATCATTATTAATCAATAATAATTCTTTGAAACCAAATTTCGAATAATTTCCTATATCATTTTCATTATTAGTAATAATAAAATAACATTGATGACCACGTTCGATTAATGTTTGTCCAATACAAATACATGTGCCAATTAATATGACCAGTTGAATCCAATGAATGAAATAGTATTTTCAATTTTTGTTTTTGTTGTTCATTAGCCATCATCATCATGTAATTTTAGGCTGTGTTGATCAATACAAACATATCAAACATCATCACTAAACAACGATCAAAAAATGTAAACGTGGCAACTCAACAACAACAAACGACAAATTCACGTACATTTTGATAAAACAAACAAAAAAAAAATCGATGATAATTATCAATACAGAGGGACAACATGCTTTTCAAATCAAAAAATCCATACATTTATTAACAACAGTCGGTTTTTAATTGTGTGATTTCAAAAGGAAAAACCAAAAAAAAAAATTCCCGGTAAACATCCACAATTAAACAGAAATATTTCCAGAAAGAAATGTTAGATAAATTGATTTTTGTTCCTTGATTTTTGTTTTTATTTTTATTTGATTTTCTTTATCTCATTTTGTTTGTTGGCTTTTACTCTTTGCTGAAGCAAGAATTTAAAATTGAATTTTTTTTTCTGTCGAGTTGGTTTTTTTTCTACCCTTAATTTATCTATCTTCGTTTTTTTTTGGTTGTTGATATGCTCAATTAACATTCGAGTCAGCCGTTTTTTTTCGAAAAAAAGAAAAGAAAAGAAAAAAAATTCTTAAAGAATTTGATTGCTCACACATACAAGTGCAACCAAAACTTTTGATCTTTTTTTTGTTTTGTTTGAAGAACAAAAAAATTCCATCATTTTAGCTTGTGATGATGATGCTGAACATTCATAAAATTTATAAGCGAATGAATTTCATGAGAGGAGAGAATACAATGGGAAAGAATTGTTTCAATCAAAGAAAAAAAAACATTTAAATGAACAACAAAAAAAAGTCTGAGCCAAAAAATAAAAAATTCTAGATTCTGTAACAGAATCTCTATAGCCAAGAATTCAAATAGCCTAAAGGCTAAATTATTATTATTATTGTTGTTGTTACTTAAACAAACAAAACAAAACAAAACAAAAAACAAACGAAATTCTTTGGTCCATAAAGAATTTCGTTTGTTGTTGTTGTTTTTTTGTGAACCATAAATAGCCATAAAGATTATTGAAATCTTCAAAAGAAAAAAAAGGTCATCCATTTGGAATCGTTGAACATCAATAATGGCCAATTGGAATAACCGAAAAAAAATCGATGAATAAATAATCAATGAACCACAGCAACCAGAAAAAAATGAATCAAGAAAAATCAAATCAGAAAATTTTTTTTACTAGCGGCCATTCTCCAAAATTCACAGAAGAAGACGAAATAATAACAAAATCAAAAAGAATTTGATTGTTGTTGTCCGAAGAATATTATTATTGTTTGCATTGTAAAATCATTCTTTTTGGTTATCATAAAAAGATAGAAATGATATTCATCCAGCCCTCGAGGAATAAATGATTGATTGATAGAGAATATTTTTTCAAAATAAGTATTCCAGCTGAATTCAGCTGATTTGATTTTCTTTGGTTTCTTCGTTTATGTATGATGAATCAAGGGTGGAAAAAATGAATTTCCAGTTCAGTGTTTTTCACTTAAAGACCAGCATTGTTGCAAATTAATTAAATGAAAATTATCTTCGAATAATGATGATGGTCAATTGATAAATTTGCTTGTTTGTTTTTCGGTTGCCCACTTAAATCATCAATGATAATGTTAATGAATTTTAATTAATTTCTTCAGAAATAAACAGAATTTTGCTTGATCAGAATCGTAATGTTTGCATTGTTTGTTTGTCTCCTGTTTTGTTTGAATTTACCTTCATTCATTCATTGATATTTCAGAATTCCGAAAGGAAATCAATCAATTTGATTGCGTGAAAAAAAAATGCAAACGGAATCGAAAGATAAACAAACAAGCAAAAACTACAGCAGAACCAGAATCATCATTCATTTATTTGGATGCTGATGTCTTTTTTGTTTTGTTTTTCGAATTGAATTGTTCAAATATGGCAACCAAACCAGAGTAAAATTTTGTTTTAGAGAATCAAAATCAAACAACGATGGTAATTCAACGATGCTGATGATGATTATGAGAAATATATTTACGGAAAAAAACGACAACAGCAGCAGCAGTAAAATATTGGTAAAATCGTAAAAAGAGAAAGAGAAGGATCAATAAATTCTCTGTCATCACCACCACCAATGGAACGAAAAAAAATGATTCAAAAATCGTAGATGATGAATGATTAAAATGATTCGATTTCGGAATCATCGTTATCATCATCGATTTCAACAACAGCAAGAGAGAGAGAGAGAAATATGGTTTCTTCATTGAAATATAGACTACTGTACGCTATTGAAAGATTAAAATTGCTTGAAAATTCTCTGAATAATAATGATAAACCATTGATTTTATCATTTCGATTGATTCATTCGTCGATCCATTTATTTATTCCGGAGGAAACAAACCAAAAAATTCTAGAGAATTTTGTTTGTTCAAAAAAAAATAAATCTTTATTTTGGGAAAAAATAAAAATATTTATAACATTTTTCATTTTCACTAAATTTCAATTCGGATCTAATTGTTTTTTTCTTTGGCTTTCATTTCATAAAAATGGATTTTTTTTGTTTTTCTTACAATGATTCAACAATGCAATGAGAAAATCTGTTTTCGAGCTTATGTACAGTAAAATATTAGGTAAATGAATGAAAACGAAGAAAAATGTCAAGCATTTTTGCCTAACAAAAAAAAAGAAAGAAAAAGTTTTCTCGCGCGCCTGATGTTTGCGCCATAAGTGTTAGTTGGTCGGTAGGTGGGTGGGTGGTTGGTTGGTTGGTTGGAAAGCTGCATTTTTTAACCATTAATTTTCTCTCTCTCCCATTCACTTTCTTTTGTTTTTTTTTTCATTTGTGTAAAGAATTTTTTTTTCATGAAACAAAAAAAAAAGTTTTACATAGGTTTCAATTCCATTATGATTATGAAAACATTTTCTTTTCATAATGTTTAGGTTGGTGTGTGTGTGTTATTAAATTATTAATTTTTATTATAATCTCTTCAGGAGAAAAAGAAAAAGAAAAAATCCAAAATAGCTAGTTTAATGAATGAATGAATGAATGATTTACTCCTACATCACTAATGCCCCAACACCAAAAGAATAACACAGTGAATGAATGAAAACAAAAAAAAAATGTCATTAGTTTCAAGAATATTCTCTCTCTCTCACAGTCAGTTTCAATGTTGGGATATTAAATTTTGTTTTGTTTTGTTTTGTTTTTCGTCATTTAAAAAAAACCCACCGAAAAAAAATGAATGAAAATGAAACTGATTAAGCTAATTTGCTTTATCGATTTCAAAATGAGACAAAACAAAAAAAATCTGGGTATTAAAAAAAACAAAAGTAAAGTAAATGGATTCACAAACACACAAAGAAGGATTGAAAATCAGTAATGTACAGTTAGTGTGAGTTTGTTTGACAAACATTTTTTGAATCATGAATTTTTTTTGGTTTTGGTTTTCTGGTTCATAACACATTTTTTTTTGTTTCCGTGTGTATATTTTGCCATAAAACAAATCAATAAATGATGTTCTTTATGTTGTTCGATGAGCAAAAGTAAAATGATGATAATATTGAATGATTCAAATGATGTGAATGATGATAAACATAAATAGTTTTTTCTTTTCCTTCTTGTTTATTTCAATTTCCACATGTTTAATATGAATGTGACCACCATTATCATCCCTATCAACAAAAAAAAACCCAAATGAAAAAAAACTACAACAACTATTTTGCACCGTTAATGCGTTTAAGCCATTACGCACATTCATTCATTCATTCATTTATTCACCTAACCAACCACCCACACACAGATCGTCAGATCAAATGATTCTGATGAATGGAAATGAAATCCCCAAATGATCCATTTTTTTTAACAAAAAATAATCATCATCATTTATCTTTGTTGTTGATTTTCATTATCAACATTTTCATTTTCAAACGTCAACTCTCTCTCTCTTCAAATCATAAAGAATTTGCATTATTTTCATTTCGTTGGAAAATGATTCTTTTCAATGATAATAATCATTATCATCACCTTTGATCATTCGAGCATAACTTTTTATTCCGGTTTTTTTTTTTGGTTGATTTCGTTTGTTGTTGTTGTTGTTGATCTAATGGTCATTTCTGGAACAACAACAACAACAAAATGACCGATTTTTTTTCTCATTTTGTTTTTGGTTTATAAATAAATCAAGCAAAGAAATTTGCAATCAAAACCAAAAACCAGAAACCAAAACATAAATCAGGATCACCCAAGGATGGATCATCATTGTCCTGTCCATAAAATATGGCGGGAAAATTAATTTTTCAAAAAAAAAACATTGCATACATCATATATGAACAGATGATGATGATAGATATAGGGACTAATTTCGGTCAAAAAAAAAGTAAAAAACTTTGTTCCTATTCACCACCACCACCATTACCACATAAAGACATGTGTTGTTAGCCAGATTAAATAATAAAAGTTATAAGTTACACAAGTTTGGATCGCTATCACATTGTCCATAAGGAACTAAAAAAAAAGAAAAGAAAAACTTAAGATTGAAAAAGTGAAACTTTTTGCTTTTTTTGTTTCCACAATGTTCTAGTCGTTGCTGTCGAAATAGGAGGAAGATTCTTCTTCTTCTTCTTTTTCTGTGCCTTGATGTTGTCATTCATTCATTCATTTATTTATTAATTGTTTTGCATCTTTTTTTTCGTTCCTGGACCAAAATATAATTTTGTTTTTCTTTTTGATATGATCCATGTGTACATTTCATTCGATTCAATTGTTTTCATTATTCCCAAAAGATTTGACCTGTCAAATAATGTTTTTGGGAAAATCTTTCCAAAAAAATCAAACTGATCTGGTGATGCAAAACAAAAAACGAAAACGAAAATATTGGATACCTTAAGGAAAATTTTTTTTTGGCTAAGAAAGAATATGATTTTTTCCTTAAATAATAAACATTGGATGCTACAAACAAACAAAAGGGAATCGTTCGTTTTTTGTTTTGTTTTTTTGTTGTGGAGTGGATAGAAATTGATAACATATGAATGGACCGACATCAAATTTTTCATGTTTGAGATTGAGAGAGAGAGAGAGGGAAAGATTAATTAATCATAAATGTCCAGAATCTGCAATATTATAACAGAATGTTTATAACAGAACACACACGCAAACACTGGAGAACTGGATCAATCGATCCATCGATTCTCTATCGATCGATGGCCGAATTGCTTGTTGTTGATGTTTTCTCTCTTTTTCTTCCTTTTTCTCTTTCGCTATTTTGAATGTAATTTTCTCTTCGATGTTTGGTAAACAACAGCGAAGCAAACAAACTGAAAAAAAATCACTGAAATGAGCAAAAAAAAAAAAAATGAAACGAAATGAAATTTATTTCATCACTCAAACAATCGAATCCGAAAGACCAAGCTAACTAATAAATGAAAGTTGTTGTTGTTGTTGTTATAATCAAAACAACAACAACAACAACAAAAAATTATAAACAATCAATTTTCATTATCAGGATTATTATTATTATTATTATTATTTTCACTGGGCAACACTTTGTTGTTGTTGTTGTTATTTTTGGATGCTTAAAACAACAACAACAACAACAGAATCGAAAGTGAGAGAGAGAGAGAGAGAGAGAGAGAGAGAGAGAGAGAGAGAAA